AGGTCCTTTTTGCCAGAGCTGCTCTCCAGCAGATCGGCCCCAACCTGTACTGATCCATGGGGTTGTTCCTCCCCAGATGCAGTACTTGACTCTTGCCCTTATTGAATTGCATTAGATTTCTCCCCACCCAGCTCTCCAGCCTGTCCAGGTCACACTGGATGGCAGCACGGCCCTCTGGCGTGGCTGCCCACCCTTCCCGTCAGCAAACTTGCTGGGAGTACATTCTATCCCTTTGTCCAGGTCATTGGTGAATATATTGCATAGGGCTGGACCCAGCACTGACCTCTGGGGCATGCCACTAGCCACAGGCCTCCAATCACTACTTCAGTGTGCAGGGTGTATGTGAGTGTATCTAAGGAGAGGCCTGTGGCCTCTTTCCAAAAGAATCTAGACAAGAAGTTGAATCCAGTTACCCCAAGGCACTCTTCCACCAAATTGGGTAAGAAAGAGGGGGACTTAGAAGGTCAGGTAAGACAGCGGAAGGGCTACAATTTATATAGAAGTGTCTGTACTCACTAGAACCATCGCCTCTGAATCCAGTCCCTGAATCGGAGGTCCAGGGTCTCCAGTCTCATCTGTTTCCTGAGGTATCTGCTGCCACCCTCTCCCTCTCTCTTCGGTGCTGTGTCATGTAGCTGTGTTTGTAGGTCGTTATCTTCTATTTTTCATTCCACTGTTGTGGCAGTGCAGCGGATTTAAAGGATCCCGCTTCACTCATGACAGTAATGGGGTCTCAAAGAGGCCATATGATGCAGTTATTATTGAATTTCATCAAATGCACATACAAAACCATGCTAAAACCCCATTATTTAGGCAATAAATTTAGCAAGTGCCAGAAGGAAATTTTCCTGAGGGCCCTTTTGGGAGTTTGCGCGTACTGTTAGTCTTCCTTAACAAGATCGCGTCATAGCACCACTGTCTCTTTAAGAGATGGAGAATACATCTCTTTAAGATGAAGAATACAATTTAACACACAGTATTTGAGCTCTGACCTGAGGGCAGGAGTATTGTCTTTCACTAGTTATGTACTTCATCAAAATTAATTTGCTGTCATTACAGCCCAGTGACGTGGAGCATTATTACCTCTGTTTTACAGAAGGGAATTCAGGCGTGAAATGAAATCAACAGTAGCACTGGTTTTGAGTGCCAGTTTCAGGGAGCTTAGAGCTGAAACGTGCGTGTAGGTTGATTTCCAGGGTAGTTTGCACTCAGAGTGTTTTCTGTCTCCAGTGCCAAGGCTAAGACAGTTGGGCAAACCTGACTGCAGTCTCAAGGGAACAAACATGGGAAAGGTTTGTTCCAAGTGAGTTGCATAGCGCTCTTTAGGGACACTGGGGTATCTGCAGGGCTGTAAGTTCCTTCTCTGAAGTGGGATCCAACCGCAATAGCTGAGGCTCTTTCTGTTTCCTAAATTCCACCAGCACTTACTGTTCAGCTGGCCGGTGAAGCAGTGATCTGAGTGACAAGAGTCTCCTTCCTTTCATAGCAACAGCCTGTCTCCAGAGCGGGTCCTGGGCTGTTGGTTAAAGAGCTGAGAGAAGGGACTTTATGACCAAGATCAGGTGCAAATCTCCCCTCTGTGTGATATGATATGGGGTGTGTGAGCAAGCATGAAGGCAAGAAATAATGGTCCACTTGGTGAATGTTTCATATGTAAATACCCTGTGATCTACACTTCATCCATATGCATGGACCAGGGAAATGCATAAACAAAAATCCTGCTGGCAGTTCTTGCCATTTTTCTGAAAGTGTCTTATGTAATAAAGATGGTGATTTGATCCCTTCTAGTGCACAGTGCCTTCAGTTGCTGCTGCTGACATTTACCACCGTTTTGGTGATGATTTCCTCTGTTTCAACTCCGGTCATAATTTTATTTGGGAAGAGGATGAGTTGAAGTATCAAAAGATGCAAGTTAAAATGAAACCATACAGTTGGGAGCTGCTCCTGATCAAAATTGGGCAGTTAACCATTCAGCTCCACAGTGGCACTGGGGAAGGCTAGGTTTGATACTGCTGAACATCCTTGAAAGGTGAAAATCAAGAGATAAAGGCTGGGAGGGATGAGAGAGAAGGGAAAACTGATGAGAGAGAAGGGAAAACTTTTACCACTGCCCTCCTACCAGCACAATTTCTATATTTCCATTATGAATCAACCAAATTAATAGGCTTTTGGACACCAAGAGTCCCACCTCTGAGATGAGCTACTTGCTGTGATTTCCATGGCTTTTTCCCTATACAAATCCCCCACCAAACATGTTCCTTACAGGATACAATCAAAGCAGTCACTTGGCCTGTATCTCCAGCTCAAGCATTCCCTTAAAACCAGCATGCCAGTGGTTACGTTTTCCCACTCATTTCTCGTATAGCCTGCTTTCTAGTCCTTCCTTATATTATCTGCTTCAAGCCATGACTTCTGAGTTGGAGACCTTCATTTTTTTCCCTCCCCTTTTCTTTCTTCTCCTTCCACTCTTCATGCCTAGTACACATTTGGCATAAATAAGAGCGGCGAGGAGGCCAATGCATGACCCTCATGTCTGTCTTTTTTTGCCAGCATAAAACCTCAGTCTCAAACCTGGAAATATTTCTCAGATTGTTTTTCCCATACCACCCACATCTTTTTTTCCACCAGAGGAAGCTGCTTACGTTGAATGCTGTGGGAACCTAATTGTTACTTTATCGCACAGTGAGGAAAGTGCTAATTAAACAACATGCTTTTCTGAAACCAGATGATACTTTCATTTTCTAGAAAGAGGAAGCTTAATGTAAAATCCCTTGTCCCTGCCTGGTGAAACCAGATGAGTTGCCAAGAAGTTTTCTAATTTCATTTGCATAAGCCTTTTTCTAGCTACTTTGAAGAAAGTTCAAAGCTGACTGGTTATTTGCCACTCAGCA